ACCATCAAGTCCACGGTTTGAGCCCTCCAGCGCAAGTGTTGTGAGTTCACTTACAACATTGTGTGAACTAATCATCTCTCCAGTTAGGGAGGATGGAAGAGTGAGGGGCTAGCAGTTACCGGACAGATGAAACTGCTCAGGTAGAGATGATTAGTGTCACATGCCACCGTTTTAAGTGCATACTTGCAACATGTGAGCTTACTGAAAAGCTGCAGGAGAAACATCCGTGTATAAGTGGGTCCATGCAGTTCAAATACATGTTGTTCAAAGGTCAGTTGTATGTATACACATGTGCATGTGCTCATGTATATCTTCAGATACACATATAGAATGCATACCAATTCCTGTAACCACAGAGATTTTTTTAGTTGTTATTACTGTTGTTGCAAAATTTTCTATAGTATTTCCTGTGATTGTCCTTTATTCTCACATACCTCTCAGTATCTTAATTTACCTTTGTCACATTGTGTTGACTTCCCCTGTGTTGTACATTGCCTATTCCACCACCAGAAATAATAGGGGTGTGGCACTATACAATAAGCACTGGACTACTAACTGCAAGGTTGGTGGTTCAAACCTACCAGCTGCTCCTAGGAAACTCTATACAGGATCACTATGACTCATAAATGACTTGATGGCACTTAACAACAACATCCACTATCTAGCAAGTGACACCCTTCCCTACCACTTTCATCTCTGGTAACCATCAAAGAATACTGCTTTGTGTGTATTCCTATTCTTGACTTTCTACAAAAGTCCTGGTGTGATGCTGTGGGTTCATGTGCTGGACTGCAAGGTTGGTTTGAACTGTAAGGTCCAAACTCACCAGTTGTTCCTCAGAAACCCTATGCAGGATCGCTACAGGTCGGAACTGACTTGATGTCACCTAACAACATTATTGACTTATTCCACTCAGCATAATGTCCTCTAAGTTTATCCATGTTGTATTTAATGGACTCATTGTTGTTGTTGTTGTTAAGTGCCGTGGAGTCGGTTCCGACTCATAGTGACCCTGTACAGGGTTCCCGAGGCTGTATATCTTTACGGGAGCAGAACGCCTCATCTTTCTCCCAAAGAACAGCTGGTAGTTTCGAACTGCTGACTTTGTGGTTCGCAGCCCGATTCGTAACCACTACGCTACCAGAGCTCCTTAATGGACTCATTAGCCTTTGTAAATTTGTAGTAGTCCATGTGTATTTATCTAGTCATCTACTGATAGGCACTTAGGTTGTTTCCATATTTTTGTTATTGTGAATAATGAATGCTGCAATGAGCATAGCGTATGCGTACGTACGTCTCTAGGACAGACTAGGGGCTTCATAAGGTTCGTGGAAATATAGAATTAAAAGATAATGGAATTTTGCCTACAAACTTTTTGAAGCCCCCTCATACATCTAGGAGTAGTACTGCTGGACCCTAAGGTATTTCTACTTCTTGTATTTTGAGGAAGTTCCATACTGTCTTCTGTAGTGGTTGTGCCATTTTGCAATTCCACCAGCAGACTGGCATTTTAACTTCACCTTTTCCTGTTGTGAATTTGTTGTTCAACACTCTCAGGAATTGTTTAAAAATAGAAAGCTCATATTACCTTATTTTAACATTTTGGGCCCCATCTCACAGGTTCAAATACCACCCTCTGCTTACCTATCTGTGAAGCAGAACTGGCCTGTGATTTTCAACTTCTGTTTAAATTTGATCTGGTATGGAAGTGAACAGAGAGAGAGAATAGGAGAGTTAGAAAGAGGAAAAGGCAGAGAGTAGGAGAAAAAACAAAGTCAAAAACCAGACAGATGGACAGACAGAAACCAGTTGGCTAGTCAAGACAGTGATTCTTTAATCTGAGTCCAGGAAAGTCCCTGGTAAGAAGAAGCTGACCCCCTTCTCTCTGGAGGGGAGAAGGACTAGAGAGGGTGGTGGTTGGAGAGAGAGGAGGGAGGCACCCAATCCTGAGATCAGATAAACATGTTTGCCTTGGAAGCTCAGGGCTGGACTTTGCACTGCACTCACCTCCTAGCTCTGACTGGCTCCTGGGGTTGGGGATGGGCGGGTGGGGGAGGGGAGGTTGAGGGAGATGCAGAAGATCCCAGGGACCCCTGAAAGAGAGGGTAAAAAAAGCCAGGAGACAGCTCTGGAGGATCAAGAATATGCTCAATTCTCAACTAGGGCACATTGGACAAGTGACCTCACTTTTCTAAGTCTCAATTATCTCACCTGAGAAATGGGTTAGCTAGCAGCTGTTGTTAAGTGCCGTCGAGTTGATTCCAACTTACAGTGACCCTGTATAGGGTTTCTGAGGAGCAGCTGGTAGACTTGAACCGCCGACCTTGCTGTTAGCAGTCCAGTGCTGATGCTATAGCACCACACCAGCAGTGCCTACCCCTTAACGTTATCATCAGATTTAAGTTCTTAACCCTCCACATAGTGCTTGGCATTCATTCACAGTGGTTTCTTTTCAAGTTGGGCTTCGCTGTATCTACTGCTGGCCAACTTAAATGTATCTGCTACCACCTTACAGGGCACCTTTGCTGTCGGTGGTTGTTGTTATATGCCGTGGAGTAGGTTCCGACTCATAGCGACCCTGAACAGGGTTTCCGAGGCTGTAAATCTTTACAGGAGCAGAAAGCCTCATCTTTCTCCTGCGAAACAGCTGGTAGTTTCTAACTGCCTACCCTGAGGTTAGCAGCCTGATTGGTAACCACTACACTACCAGAGCTCCCTACCTTTGCTGTCTGGGGTGGATAATTAAAAAGGAGGCAGTCGTAGGGCCAAAGCTGATGGAGAGTGGCTCTGTGTCCCCAAGTCTGAGGACGGCATTGCCAAGGGGGTCAATTCTTAAAGGAAGGAGAGAAGGTAGTATGGGGCTGGGTTTCACAACCCTGGGGGCTTTATTTGCTTTTCATCTCCATGGAGTGCCTACTTCATTACTGTTGCCGCGGTCTTCTTTATGTACTTATTACTGTGTGGCTGAAATTGAGTCACAAGGGTGAATTCAGTTCCAGACCTGAAGGGTGACTGAGGGTCATAGTCTCAGGGTCTTGCCCCACTTTCTGTTTTACACAAGCAGCATCCTAGCAGACATACAGACAAACCCTGTTCTATCTCAGACGCGGTTCTACCTGGGAGCATGGAGCTTGTGTGCGTGTGGGTTCCAGATGTAACTTAGTCAGTCAGCATCCTTTTCCTGGACATGTAGGTTGTTTCCAATCTTTTGCTGAAGTTCCAGGGTGGTACAAATAATTAATGCTTGACTGGCATGGAACTGTGGGATAATGCCCTGGACCAAAGGTTGGTTTGAACCGCAAGGTCAGTGGTTAAAATTCACCAGCTGTTCCTCAGAAACCCTATTCGGGGTCGCTGTGAGTCAGAACTGACTCAGTGGCACTTACCAAAGGAGTCCTGGTGTTGCGCTGTAGGATAAGGACTGGCCCGAAAGGTCAGTTTAAACTGTAATTATAGTCAGGAGTTCCAACTCACCAAGGCTCCTTGGAAACCCTATACAGGGTCACTATGAGTCAGAAGCAACTCAGTGGCACTTAGCAACGACAATTTACCAAAGGAGCGTGGTGGCTCTGTATGATAAGCACTTAAATGTGAACCACAAGGTTGGCAGTTTGGGTCCACCAGCCATTTGAATGAGACTTTGTGCTCACAAAGATGCACAGCCTTGGAAACCCTATACAAGGGTCGCTATGATTTGAACTGACTCAAAGGCACTTAACAACAATTAGAATTTACCAAAAGGTTGGTGGTTTGAGTCCACCCAGAAGAAAACTGAAACCTCTATGGAGCACAATAGCTGTACTCCGACACACCTCAGTCACCACGTTGGAATTGACTCAACTGTTTTAATAAGCAACCTTGCAACACACGGCCTTCTTGCCACACGTGTAGAGCTCAGAAGGCCCAAGTCCTCGGGGCCCAATTCCAGAGTGAAAGGAGGTGAGAGAGCACAGGCTTTGAATTGCAAAGACGTGGGTTCAAATCCCAATCCCGCTGTTTCAGCACACACATTCATAATACTCATACAAGCTGGAGAAGGAGTGGGGAGGTAGGGGGTTTAGACAGTACAGGAGAGGGAAGGAGAGAAAAGAATTTAGAGTGTGGGCAGTTCTGATCCCACAGTGAACAGAATCGCTGGTGACTCGGGTACCTTAAGTCTATCTAGTGAGAGTTTCTCAGTTCCTAGGGTGGGATTCTATGGAGTCCTGGTGTGGTGCTGTAGGATAAGCACTGGACTGCTAACCATAAGGTCGGTGGTTCAAACCTACCAGCTGCTCCTTGGAAACCCTATACAGGGTTGCTATGCCTCGACAGCACTTCCTAACAGGTGGGATTATGTGCTCAACACACACACATTTTTTGTCCGAGGCCTCTTTAGCCCTTCATCTGGGGCTCTGCGGAAGCACTGGCTGCCTGCCCTGCTCATGCCCAGGGTTCCATGCAGAGATGTGCAGAGACATTGTCCCTGTGTGATTTCTGCCTGACAAACTGACTTAGACCCCTTCAGGTGGGAAGAAGCTCTGCAAGGTCAGCCATGTGACCATCCACCTGCCCATTCATTGATTCACGCATGCACCAAGGACATCATTTGATCTCAGGCCACTTTTGCATGCTCAGGCAGTTGATGTCCTCAAGGGCTTTGCAGTTTCTCACAGGATAAAACGCAGCCACAATAACAATTCCAGGCAGGATGAGGAGAGGTGCTTTAGAGACACGAAAGCTCCCTCTTCATCTGGCTGCTGCAGTTTCCTGTGAGAGTCTGTTCTATTCATGTCTCCATCTGTGTCTCTGGTGCTAAACCTTTGTCTCGTGTCCACATCTGTCTCCGTGTTCTGGGTCCATACCCTCCCCATGCCTGAGTTTGGGTGCTTGCCTCTGGGTTCCATGCCTGCTTCCATTCACAATCTCCATCCCTCCTAGCACAGAGGACCCCCAGTCCAGTCTGCAGGGTTGGCAGGGCTCTCTGGGCAGCCCCCTGACAGGCCCTTCCTTCTCTCCAGGGAGGACCCATGGCGAGTGGCGAAGATGGTCAAGTCCTACCTGCAGCAACACAACATCCCACAGAGGGAGGTGGTTGACACCACTGGCCTTAACCAGTCCCACCTTTCCCAGCACCTCAACAAGGGCACCCCCATGAAGACACAGAAGCGAGCTGCCCTGTACACCTGGTACGTCCGCAAGCAGCGAGAGGTGGCCCAGCGTAAGTAATGACCGCAGCCTCATCCTCCCTGGCAGGGGCTGAAGAATCTCTGCAACTCGTGGGTGGGGGCTGGACGCTTTATCACTCCCATTACGCAGACAGGCAGGGAGAGGTCAGCGGGACTCAACCAACATTTTATTTATTATCTGTTCTGCTCAAGGCACTCCAAGGGAAGGCAGAAGGGTAAAAGCTGAGCATCCAAAGATGAGAAACCAAGTTCTCCAAGAGCTCCCTGATGAATGGGGAAGGAGCAAAGATGATTATGACACTGTGGGACATGTATCATGTGATGACAACATCTTGATGTCAGCTGACAGCAAGTTGGCCCCCAACTCATGGCAACTTTATGCTCCCAGGCTCAAAGAGAACAGACCATTGTGATCCATAGGGCTTTCACTGGCTGATTTTTGGAAGCAGGTCGCCAGGTTCTCAGTCTGTCCTAGTCTAGAAATTCTACTGAAACTTCTTCAGCATCGTAGCAACATGCAAGCTTCCATTAGTAGATGGGGTGGTGCTGCGCATAAGGGACACTGAACTTGGGTCTCCTGAATGTCCATTATTAACTAGTACATTCCATCTGTCACAATGAACAAACCAGCATTACAGATCTCACCTGAAATGAACTAACCCAAGATGAACTGATACATTAGTAACTAAAGCCCAGACTTCATTAGGACTCCTGGTGTGGCGCTGCAGGGTCTGCACTGAACTTCAAATAAAAAGTTAACAGTTCAAACCCACCAGGTACACCTCGGAAACCCTATACAGGGTTTTGACGCTATGAGTCAAAACTGACTGGATGGCACTTACCAGCAACATACTTTATTCAGAGCTCCTCATTTCCCACCCCCATTGTTGTTCTGCTCTAGGCCCCATGTGATTGAAAACACATCACACACAATTGTTGTATCTCCTCAGAGGCTTCTTGGTTGCGAAAGTTTCATAGGCTTACCTTGTGTTTGATCACAATGACAGGGCAATTTTCTGAAGTGAAAAACCAAAGAGATTCATTGAAACATAAGAAACATTTGAATGGGGCAGTTTGTTACCCAGAGTGGAGACGAATAAATCCCAATGTTTTTCTTTTATGTTGAAAAATTTAAATTTTTTCTGGTGTTATACCCCAGCTCTTGGTCTGGTTTCCCTCAGCCTGGGGCCATGCTGAGGGTATGGCTTGTAAGACAGGATGGCATATGGAGAATCAGTGTGAGTGGGTGTTCACGCCGCAGCTGCTGAGGATGTTGGAATCTGGGCGAAGCATGCTATTAAGAGCCTGGCAAGGAAAGGCTGGCTTTTGGTGGTTTAATCACACCTCTCCCCCAAGCACAGGGATCTGTTTCTGCCTCTCGGCAGTCAGATGCTAAGGGCTCTCCTGCTGCTTACTGGACTCAGAATCTTCCTTCATCCACTCGCATAAAAATATTTGGGCACTTGTTTGCCTTGTTCCAGTGGTGCCATGCCCAGGGTTCAGCTGATAGACTTGATTTCAATAAAGTGGAACCAGCTGATGAGGATCGTCTGTCTCTCTTCACTCCTGGCCAACGCTCTGATTTTAAGGCTGGTTTCCAAGTCTAGAAAATTGAACATAGCTCTGAATCTTCCCAGGAGATATGGTATATGCTTCTGCACTACTGAAAAAACATTTAACCTCCCTTAGCCTCAGCTGTAAATTGGGGATAGCAAATATGCCAAATCTGAACAATTGCTAATGCTTACTTAAGAGTTTTCTCTTGAGAAGGGTTGGAAATTAAATCTTCAGTAGGAAAGTGTGCAGGGATTGATTAGTAATGTCTGCACAGGTTAATACTGTAATGGTATATGTGCTGTGTTGTGTGTTTGTTATCACTAGATTAGAGGATTTCTAAATTCTAGTGGTAAGATCCATAGTTCAGTACCCTGGGGATGAGAATCTGGGATGTGAGCAGGTGACCTGATGTGGGACAGTAGGAGTGGGTAGGGCCCTGCTTATGGCTCTTTGTGTCTGCAGAGTTCACGCATGCAGGACAGGGTGGGTTGATTGAAGAGCCCACCGGCGATGAGCTGCCAACCAAGAAAGGGCGGAGGAATCGATTCAAGTGGGGTCCAGCTTCCCAGCAGATCCTGTTCCAGGCCTATGAAAGGCAAAAGAACCCCAGCAAGGAGGAGCGAGAGGCGTTGGTGGAGGAATGCAACAGGTACAATGGCTGGCCGGGCCTTCTGCAGTGCTGATTTGATCAGGGTTGGGACAAGGCTGGGGACGGAAGGGAGGAGAGCTCCTGCTATTGGCTTAGCCTGAGCCAGACAACTGAAAGTACTCAACTCAGCTCTGCTCAGTGTCTTGGACCTAGCTCCATTCCTAGCAATCCCTCCTCCCACCTCATCCCAAGAGATCTCTTGGGTAGCTGCGTGTCTCATTTCATTTTCACTATAACCCTGTGGCTATTTTGCTGATTTATGAATGGAGACTGGTCAGGCAGGCTAAGCCAGTTGCCCACTGTCACAGAGCAGAACTGGGATTGGAACCCCGCTTACCACCCTCAATCACAGAGGTAGAGCCTGCCTTCCTAGAACCCTCTCTCACATCAGAGCCTGGCCAAGGAGGCTCATCAGTGGGCATCTCTGCAGGGCGGAGTGCATCCAGAGAGGGGTATCACCATCGCAGGCACAAGGACTGGGCTCCAATCTCGTCACGGAGGTGCGTGTCTACAACTGGTTTGCCAACCGGCGCAAAGAAGAAGCCTTTCGGCACAAGCTGGCCATGGACACATACAGTGGGCCACCATCTGGGCCAGGCCCAGGTCCTACGCTGCCTGCCCACAGCTCCCCTGGCCTGCCCCCACCTGCCCTCTCCCCCAGTAAAGTCCACGGTGAGTGCTATGTGGGTACAGGGGCTGGGGAAGTTTCTAGAAGGGACATGGGGGTAGGTGGGAGAGATGGGGAGGTTTGCCTCAGTGGCAGTAGCCACTCAAACCTCTCGGCATTTGAGCTTGGATCCATTTACTCCACTCCATCCATTCCACTGTATCTACTCCACTCCATCCATTCCACTGTTTCCACTCCACTCCATCCATTCTACTCTTCTTCACTCTACCCATTCCACAATAATCTACTTACTCCATCCATTCCATTCATTCCACTGTATCTACTCCACTCCAACAATTCCACTTCTCTTCACCCCATTCACACTACAGCATTCCATTCACTTAAACCTGATTTGGGTTACTTCAACTCACCTAGTTCATTCCAGGTCAAATCAATTCAATTCGTTTCAAGACAACTCAATTAAATTAAACTCAACTCATTATAATTCAATCTAAATCAATTTAAATTTAGTACAAACTTAATTCAATTTGATTCCCATCCGATTAATTCAGTTTAACAAAATGCAATTCAATTACATTCAATTGGATTTAATATGATCGGATGTGATTCAATTCAATTCAACTAGACTCAGCTCAACTCAACTGATTTCAGTTCTTCTGCTGAACTCAGTTCACTCCAGTTTGATTTCATTAGCCTCAGTTCAGTTTTAAGAACGCGTTTTCTTGGTAAATTTTTATTGGGAACTGAGCGATTAGTTTACATGGGGGAATATCAGTTTTACATTCATCATTTCATTGCAATGATTACAATCTCCTCCGTGCATCATCATTCAACAGTATTTGCTTCTATTCCCTTTGTTTTGATGATGATTTTTTTTTTTGGGGGGGGGGGAGGATGTACACAGAAACACTCAGAAATACAAAATCATTTAAACAACCAAAGGACACATTCTGCATGCCTGTCCCCTGGCCACCAGCACCTGGCCGCCAGCACGCAGTCTTTCTCTTCCCATGAGTCTAGAATCCTCAGCTGCTCTCTCTCTATGCTCTCATCTCTGCCTCCATCTCTGGTGTCACTCCTCTGGATAGGGTCCCACATTCTGCCCATGCTCCTCTCCCTCGAGGGTCCTAAGGTTCTCTGTTTCTGGACTGACTGCCATAATTATGACAGTCGCAATTAGTCATGATAACAATTACTCCCTATTGAATCATAACAATCTTATCCCTATAGCTTTTTACCAGATCTGTCTAGACAAGATGAGAACTATTCAGTGGGGATTCTACCTTCCCCACATACTCTGAAATTAAACTCCCTCTTGAGAACTTGTAAGCCAGTCACTTTGTGCCTTTGTAGCCCCTCCCACTTTGGCCAATGTCTAAGTTGCCTGTCCCTATCAACCCTGTATACAGAAGGGATAGGATTGATTTTGGATGTGAAGTTCAGTTTTACAAATGCCTTTTTAAAAACTGTTAAATTTCACTTTGTCTTATTTATTGAGTACCTACAGCATGTCAAGAATTGCACTAGGAGTGGGAGGCATGGCGCTAATAAATGCAGTCTTTGCCTTCAAGGAACGGCAAGCAGCCTACACAAGGCCTGGCCTAAGCAAAGCCAGGCACTTTTGAAGGACATGGGTCACAGAGGTGGGTGTGGGAAGTGGGGTGCTGAGGCCACACACTGCACCCCATTCCAGGTGTGCGGTATGGGCAGTCAGCAACGAGTGAGGCGGCAGAAGTGCCCTCCAGCAGTGGTGGTCCCTTGGTGACGGTGTCCACTCCCCTGCACCCAGTGTCCCCCATGGGCCTGGAGCCCAGCCACAGCCTCCTGAGCACTGAAACCAAGCTGGTGAGTGTCATCACCTATGAGAAGATTCCTTGGCTGGGAGACTACTGGGGTCAGCAGGGAGGCAGTGTGGGTCCCAATCTGACTCAGCTTGGTCTCTGTTCAAAGGTCACAGCCACAGGGGGCCCCCTGCCCCCAGTCAGTACACTGACAGCACTGCACAGCCTGGAGCAGGCTTCCCCAGGCCTCAACCAGCACACACAGAACCTCATCATGGCTTCACTCCCTGGGGTCATGGCCATCGGGCCTGGTGAACCTGCCTCCCTGGGCCCCACATTCACCAACACGGGTGCCTCCACCCTGGTCATCGGTAAGCAGGTGGGGATGAGTGGGAGGCCTGGGGGTGTGCATGGGGGTGGGGAAGGGTTCTTGCAGGCTCCAGGAGCTGAAGAGCCATTGGGACTCATGCATTCACTCAGACCATATGTATATGTCAAGTGTGGCAGGCACTAGGCAACTAGGGAGTGTGAGAAAACAGGCCAGACCAACGTCTCAGCCCAAGTGGCGAAGCAGCTACAGACACAATACATGAGGCATACGTTGCTGTTAAGTTCTGTCAAGTCGGGTCAGACTCAGCAATCCAAGGAACGGCTGGAGGGTTCCAACTACTGACTTTGTGATTAGCAGTCCAGTGTTTATCCTACAGTACCACACCAAGACTCACATAAGTCATATGATGTTGTTGTTATGTGCCGTGGAGTCAGTTCCAACTCTTGGTGACCCTGTACAGGGTTTCCGAGGCTGTAACTCTTTATGGGAGCAGAAAGCCTTATCTTTCTCCCATGGACCCGCTGGTAGTTTTGAACTGCCAACCTTGAGGTTAGCAGCCTGATTCGTAACCACTACGACACCAGAGCACCTTAAAAAACAGCATCTCACTGCCATCACTTTAATTCTGACTCACAGTGATCCTATCAGGCAGGGTAGAACTAATTGCTCCATAGGGTTTCTGAGACCATAAATCTTTACAGGTAAAGACAGCCTCATCTTTTCCTGGAGCAGTTGCTGGGTTTGAATCTCCTGACCTTGTAATTAACAACCCAATGTCACACCCATAGTGCCATCATGACTCATAAGTAACAACGCCCTGTTGTTAAGTGTTGTGGAGTCCTTTCCAATTTATAGCAACCCTGAATAAGGTTTCCAAGTAGCGACTAATGGATTTAAACCACTGACCTTGTGGTGGTTAGCAGTCCAGTGCTAACATACATACAGCAGCAGCCTAGAAAGGAAAAACAAAGCAATGTTAAGAGGGATTGAAGTCTTCTAGGTTGTAGTGTTTAGATGATACAATCTTGCATGCTGAAAGCAAAGAGGACTTAAAACACTTAACTGATGAAGATCAAAGACCACAGCCTTCAGTATGGGTTGCACCTCAATGTAAAGAAAACAAAAATCTTTACCACTGGACTAATAAATAACATCAAGATAAATGGAGAAATGATTGAAGTTGTCAAAGCCTTCATTTTGCTTGGATCAACCATCAACACTCGTGGAAGCAGCAGTCAAGATGTCCAACGAGATATTGCATTAGGCAAATCTGCTTCACCAGACCTCGTTAAAGTGTTCAAGAGCACAGATGTCAGACCGAGGATTAAGGTACGCCTGACCCAAGCCATCTTATTTTCAGTAACCTCATATGCATGCGAAAGTTGGACAGTGAATAAAGAAGACCATAGAATTGATGCATTTGGGTTATGGAATTAGAGGAAAATATTAAAAGTAGCCTGGACTGCCAAAAGAACAAACCAATCTGTGTAGTAAGAAGTACAGCCAGAGTGCTCTTTAGAAGCCAGCATGGCCAGACTTCATTTCTTATACTTCTGACACATTCTCAGGAAGGACCAGTTACTAGAGAAGGACATCATGCTTGGTGGGTCAGAGAAAGTGGAGGGTCAGAGAAAAAGAGGAAGACCACCAACGAGGTGGACTGGCATAGCAATGATTGTGAGGTTGGCGTGGGACCGGGCAGTGTGTTTCCTTCTGTTGTACTTAAGGCCGTCATGAGTCAGAACCAACTCAACTGCACTTAGCAACAATTTGTTGCAACATGAAAGTCCTTATTTGTTGGAACTATTATGCAGGAGTTCAACATGTAAGACGGACAGGGAGCTGCTGCAGAGGGGGCAGGGAACTCAGCCTAGAGCCCTTGCACTTCTGTGGAACCCCAAGACTCCAGGGAACCCAGTTTGACAATAATGAATGAATCAATATCCACCTCTTCTGCTCCCTTCCCAGTTACTGGCTAGAGGCTCAGGGCTGTCTCCCGACCAGCTCCTCTCCCCACTCCTGGGATGTGGGAAGAGGTGGTCCCTCCAGCCCAGGGAGGTAGTATTGGGGAGGGAATACGCTGACTCTTGCCCTCCCCATGTAGGCCTGGCGTCCACGCAGGCGCAGAGTGTGCCGGTCATCAACAGCATGGGCAGCAGCCTGACCACGCTGCAGCCGCTGCACCCGTCCTACCAGCAGTCTCTCATGCCTCCGGTGCAGAGCCACGTGGCCCAGAGCCCCTTCATGGCCACCATGGCCCAGCTGCAGAGCCCCCACGGTGAGCAACCCCTGCCCCACTCTGGTGGTGGTGCTGGGAGGGGCCGGGTCTGAGTGAACATGCCACTTTGTGATTGTTGTTGGCGTGTGCATGTTTCTGTGACTGAGGGTGTCTGTGGAGCCCCCATGTGTCACTGTGCATCCGTGGTAGCCGTGTATGTGTGTGAGCGTGTATTTGTTGAATAGATGGGTACACACTGCATTTTTATGTGCTGAACAGTGTGCACACATCTGTATGTGGGAATACAGGCCACAGTCCTCTGAAATCGTTGGGGGCCATCTGTATTTTAGAATTCACAATTGTTCCGATTTTTGAAAAGTAAATCAAAACCCGTTGCTGTCAACTTCAACTCATAGCAACCCCCAGAGTGTCAGAGTAGAGCGTGCTTCATAGGGTTTCCAAAGGCTAAGTTTTTGGGGAAACAGACTGCCAGACCTTTGTTCAGAGGCACTTCTGGATCTGCAGCCAAGATGTTAACTGTTTTTTGCATCACTCAGGATAGTAAGGTAGATATACCATTCTAGGGGGCTTCCAAAAGTTCGTGAAAAATGGCATTAAAAAATAATGAAAACTTTCCATGAGCTTTGTGAAGCTCCCTCGTAGAAGACACAACACCCCCAAGCAGAACTTGACATCATGAAAGAAAACACTGTTTCCTAGGAGTAGGTATGACTCCTATGGCCTCACAGGTCTGGCTTTGTAGCCAAATGGACACTGTTGTTGTTAAGTGTCAAGTCAGTTCCAACGGATAGCAATCCTGTATAGGGTTTCCGAGGAGCAGCTGGTGAACTTGAACCTTTGACCTTGTGTTTCAATCAACTTTGCAGTCCAGCACCATTAACCCGCACTAGGCCTCCAAATGAGTCCTAGTGCCGCCTTATGAACATGGTTTGGTTTTGGAAGTTCCCTGAATGTCGGAATGGGCTCTAAGGGATTGTGGATCTGTGTATAACGCTGGATATGTGCTTGGAAGTGTCTGAACTTATGTGGTAATGTTTTTATCTGTTAACATGAACACAGTTTATTTTTGCTCTATTAGTGTGTATGTGTGCATGGCGGGGGGCTTAGGGTGAAACGTTGGGTATATTTCAGAGGTGTCCTGGAGTGGACCATATTACTGCCCTCTGCCCGGCTCACCCACTAATGGGGTTACCTGCCTATCCTTTAAGGCATCCATATCCATGCCTCCCAGGCACTTTCATAGCTGGCTGGTAGAAGCTGGGTTTGGGCTCCTGGTTGAGCAGGCCCCTGGCCTTCCCTGGAACTCCCAGTTTTGGAAATCAGCAGAGACCTAAACCTCGGCCTCATTCTTTCAACTCTGCTGGGTCCTCACCAGCCAGAGCCACCGGGCCACTTCCTGTAGGGTGCTCAGCCTAGAGGTTCTAGGAAGAGGCCAGGGTGCCAGGTTAGTGTCATCGTTCCCCCCTCTTCCTGGCCAGCTCTCTACAGTCACAAGCCTGAGGTAGCCCAGTACACCCACACAGGCCTGCTGCCACAGACCATGCTCATCACCGATACCACCAACCTGAGCGCCCTCGCCAGCCTCACGCCCACCAAGCAGGTAAGGCCAGGCCCTACCCCGTCCCTACCCTACCCTACACCCAGGGGCTCAGGTGGCTGCTCTGTGCCTCCAGGTCTTCACCTCAGAGGCAGAAGTCTCCAGTGAGTCTGGGCTTCACACGTCAGTGTCCCAGGCCACCACCATCCACATCCCCAGCCAGGACCCTGCAGGCATCCAGCACCTGCAGCCCACCCACCGGCTCAGCAGCAGCCCCACAGGTAAGTGGTCCGCTCTGCCCCTCAGCCTCGCCGTCCCAGCCGAGGGACAGGGCAGCAGACAAGGGGCAAAAGGAGAGGGAGCTGGCCAGGCTTTGGAGCTTGAGCTCAGCCTGGTTCCGTGACGTTCCAAATGGGTATAAATCCACAGGGCGGGGCCTCGCTAGCCTCTACTGGGAAAAGGCTAAAGTCACCAGAGGTGACTCAGGGACATGTTTGGTTTTACTCTGATTTAACATTATTAAATGAGTTGGAAACAGCGAAAACGCCACCACCATACTCACCCACTGCCATCGAGTTGATTCTGATTCAGTGACCCAGCTGGGCACAGCAGAACTGTTCCTAAGGTTTCTGAAACTGTAGCTCTTTATGGGAGTAGACTGTCTCATCCTTCTCCCTCGGAGTGACTCGTGGGCTCGAATCACTAGCCTTGCACTTTATCCCACTATGCCACCAGGGGCTTCTATTGGAAAATCAGCTGCCAAATAGGTTTTAAGAAGGACTCCTATTCCCATGTAGTAACAATGGAACGTGGGCTCTCTAAACTGCCACATTGGTCCACGAATTCCAAGTTCACAGTCTGACATGGTGGCCAACAGCAGGTACTTTGGATCCAGGTCGCTGGGTATGACCTTTCCTTTCACTATCTATACGACATGAGACAAGTTCTTTCTCTCTCTAAGCCTCAGGCTTCTTCAACCAGTCCTGGGGCAGCAGTTAGGGAGGGCCCTCTGCATTGGCAGAAGCCTGGAAGGCATGTGTCACCCCCACTGTACAGAAGAGAAAGTTGATAATCAAGGAGGCCAAGAACTTGCATCCCCTTCCACAGTTCTTAGGTGGCAGGGCCAGGCCTTGAACCCGGTCTCATCTCAAAGCCCCTTCTCTTAACCATCTCTCCAGGCCTTTTCAAACACCCCCACTAGAATGTTCCAAAGAGCCAGTCTCTGGGTGGCTGGGAGCCTTAGTAAGAGCTGAGGACAGAGGTTTGTCTTTTGGGGTTCCTGTCTTGTGAGGTGAGGCAGGCAGGGTGGGCATGGGGGGTCTTGGCGGGGCAGCCAGCAGCCTTGTTCCCTCTGCAGTGTCCTCCAGCAGCCTAGTGCTGTACCAGAGCTCCGACTCCACCAACGGCCACAGCCACCTGCTGCCAACCAACCATGGTGTCATTGAGACCTTCATCTCTACACAGATGGCTTCTTCTTCCCAGTAACCGCGGCAATCGCCTCCCAGGTTGCCCCCTGCACAGTCTGCTTGTGGGGTAATGAGGGCAGCAGCTCCCGGCTGAAGGACATCTGCGCTAAACTCTTGGTGCCACAGGGCTGCTGCCCTTGGTCCCCATCCTGCTCTGTGGGCAGAGGGAGGCTGTTTCAGTTGACTGTGGAGAGCTGGTCGGGGACACAGAATGCTCAGCCTGGGCCGGTGGAGAGCTTCAGGGCCCTGAAGGGCCACACTCGTCAGGACACAGCCTGTGTGGAGAGGCCCTAGGTCATCTGCCCCTGGGGTGAAATGTTCCAAGGGCTCCTGTGACCCAATCACCCAGCCGGCCACTCCAGCCCTGCTTCTCCCCACCTCCCAGCTCTTGATTTACCCACCACATGACTCCCTGAGAGGTTCCTCTGGTACAGGTGCCCAAGTCAAGCCAGCTCATGCGAACAGGGAAGGTGGGCTGGGCTCCCCAGCTCTGGCCCCAATCCATTGTTTCCTCCTGTTCCCATCACCTTCCTTTCCTGGACCTCCCCTGAACTTCATACCTCCTGATGCCAGCTGGAGACCATGCAAGCAGCTCTCTGACTCTGGGGGCCCCGCAGACCTTGTCTTGGTTTGGGGGATAAATGGCTGAGAGAGGCTGTCAGGCCTGAAGCTCCCAAAAGGGTGGAGGGGAAGCCAGTAGGGAGGAGCTCACGGTGCGGATGAGAAGGAGGTCTGGGAGCTTAGAAAGGTGGCTGGAGGAGAGGTAGGGAGAGGTGCAGCCAGTTCATGCCACCCTGTCTGAGGCCAGGGGACATGGGACCTCATCTCCTTGGGGCAGCTGCAGATGACATGGACATCAGTGGGCCTGGAGGAAGGGGCCTGGGGACAGCCAGTGCCCCCTGCAGCTTGTAACCAGCTAAGGGCGGGCTGGTAAAATTATTTAACATTCAGTAAAGCAAACGAGAAAAGTACTGAAAACAGCGTGTTTGTTCAGTAATCAGGTTGAGCCGGGGCCCGAGGAGAGAAGCACTCCAGTGCACTCCACCTCGTACCCGTGTCTGGTTTTGTGGCCTGGCTGTATCTTGGAAGCAAGATGTCGGAGTGAGACTTAGACGTGGGCTTCTGTTCCTTGTCACAAAATCATCCACAGGCAGTCCAGCGCCTCCTGCAGCCCTGACTGTGGGGGTGTGGGCAGGAGGGCTCCATGTGTGTGGCGTGCGTACTGACAAGGTCTCATGGAGAGTTGGCGCTGAAGGATGCACAACACCAGACTGCTTGCTAAGTGTTGGGCTCCACATTGATTTATTTTCAATAACCTGGTTGGCTCAGAGACATGATGGTATGTGGTATATTCATGTACGTAGTGGAGGAAAATTTTGGAAAACCAGGAGGGAACGATCTATAGACTCCCTTTTAAACAGCGTTGTATCAAGTCTATGTGGGCTGGGGAAGAAATAGAAAACTCATTTTCTAAAGATTATGTTTCTCACACTTGAGCTGAGGAGGCAGGGGAAGGAGAATGAATTCTCTTCATCTGTTCACTTAGCCAGCCCTAGGGAGACAGAAGTGTGACCACTGGGCAGTCAGTAACCACAGGCTCCTTCTTTCAGAGGCCATGGAATGTTCTGGCACCACAGGTCTGCCCCAGCCCTCAGTATGAGAAGAGAGGCCTTGCATCAATCTCTGACTCTTCAACCACTCTGTTCTCCCAGCCCTTGGACAAACCCCAATCATGATCAGGGCCTCACAGGGAGGATCTGGACACACCAGCCAAGGCTTTAACCTCGGAGGGAGGTATGGGCCTGGAATCACCTTGTCCTCAGAGCTGGTGGTTCCTATGCCCACAGCCTGGGGTCAGTTGGCAAGCACGGTGGCTGTGCTCTTTGATGGCTGGAAGTGGGCAGGCTCACTGGTTTTTGCCTTTTTCTTCTTTTTGGTCCCATGTGATGCTGAGTCCCCAGTGAGCGTGGCTGGCATCTTCTTGTGCGTTTGCAGCGAGGCCCTGCTGGCGGTGGCGGTGGCTGAGCTGGCATGGGTCTTGTCTGTGGCTTTCTTTTTCCTCTTTTTCACCTCTTTTTCCACCACGACGGGGCTGTGGATGGCAGACTTCTGGAGGATGTCGGAGGCGGACACGGCAGCTTCCTGGCACCTCTGCCACTCCTCATCGCTGTCCTCGCTGCTGCAAGGGGTTGGGAGGGGCAGCCCAGGTCAACTGGAATGCAGAGGCCAAGTTGGCCTCCTCTCTCCAAGCCACCAGAAGGATGCAGTGAGCTCAGCCCTGAGAGTGAGGCCGACTCTGGGGTAAAAGACTGGCTTTTCTACTTACTAGTCATGTGACTTCATTAAGTGACATCTCCGGTCCTCAGTGTCCTCATTTATAAAATGGGCTGAACAGAGCCCAGGTCTCACAGGGGGCAAACCTGAGGTCGGGTTGTTGCAGTAAACCTTCACTCTACCTCTTCACACACCCCACCCCGCCTGGATGCCCTGGTTCTCCAGCTACTGGACAGGCCCCTTTCTTGCCCTAGACCTGGCTGGGGGTCACATGGTGATTATGATGTATCAGTCAAGACAGAGGAATAAAAGAGGGACGCCTGTGGTCTGGTGGAGAGCTCACCTGGAGCTGGAGGGTGGTCGCTTCCGGCGGGGCTGTGAGGGGGCTTGCTTCTCGGGACTGCCAGGGATAGACGTGAAGAAAAGGCGGAAGCCTAATGTTCAAGGGGGCAGGGTCAGCACCCCTGGATGCCAACCCCTCCTCCCAGATACTGAGGTTGCCCCCTACTGCCCTCAGTGAGTTCCCAGTCCCAAGGACAAAGCCCTGGGATCGCTATCACCCAACTACACAAGGACGTGCTGTCATGGGAGTGGGCTTCCTGGAGCCAGAGCACAGGGTGTTTGCAGGAACGCTAGCTGCCAGATCAGGAGAGAAGTCAGCCCTCAGAGGGAGCTGACAAATGAGCCCCTACAGCAGCCTCCAGAGTGACAGCTGACAGGTAGGGGGCACAGACACACAGGTGAGGCTCTGGAAGCTCCTCAGGGTGAGACCTACAAGGTCACGTGAGGAAAGAGCCTCTGTTGTCCTGTCTGAAAATGGTGTATTCGTAATACAGGTGGGCTTCAAAAATGAAAAGAGAATGGATTTTTTTCCATTAATTTTTTGAAGCGCCCTCATACCTGTCTCACAGTGGGGGCTAAGCATGTGACAGAAATGGTACCCAAGCTGTACTGCCCAGCACCAGGCACACACAAAGTCGCTGCTGACCAGTCAAGTCTAACTCATACTGACCCCACAAGACCAGACAGAACTGTCCCCAAGGGTTTGTGGGGCTGTAATTTGCAGGGGCAGGCTGCCTCAGCTTGCTCTTGCTCCAAGCACAGTGTAAGTGTTTAATAAATGAGAGCTGTTACTATTTATTTAACGACTCACCATCATCCTCAGAGGCAGCTTTCTGTACCTTGGCCTTTCTTGGCTCTTTCTCCACTTCTAAGATAGTAATGGAGCTAAGGGGAGAGGAAATAGTTGGTTTAGAATGAGATTTTTGGCAGCAAAACACATTTTTAATTAGATAACTAGGGGCATGATCTTAAACAAATATGAATTCTACTGCCTACAGCCACAACAGACTGATCGCAACCAGCTTAATAAGGCTGCAGTGCCTTACTTGTTTAAATTCTACTTTAATCCAGAAAGGGTTGAGAGACATTTTAGAGATAATCAGAGTACAGTATGATGAATGCAATTTGAAACAAGGCAGGGGGAATAAAAGAAGTTGGGAGTATGTTCAAGAAGTCCAATATAGTTGCTGGCTAGCACACATTTTTCTCTGAGCACCCTAGCAGCAAGCATGAAAAAGGAAACGCGGTAAGTCTAGAGAAGTGGTTCAGAGTTCAGTCTCCAAAACAGGGCCAAGGTGGGTTTTTTGTCGTTGCTGATGTTTTGCTTTTTAAAGTTTGAGATAACTGTATATTCACATGCAACTGTAAGAAGTAATACAGAGAAATCCAATATACACTTGATGAGATTTCTTTCAATGGTAACTCGGAGCATAAATAACCACTGTACAATATCACAACCAGGAGACTGACAAAGATACAACCATGGCATTTTCACTGACTAGCTGTGCCTCCTTTTGCAAATGATTTAACCTCTTTGAGCTTCTGTTACTCAGCTGAACACTGAAAAAGCTATCAGATGGCAGGGATCCTGGGGTGGCACTGTGGGTTAATGCACTGGACTGCAAAGTCCATTTTAATTGCAAAGTTGGCAGTTCAAGTTCACCAGCTGCTCCTTGGAAACCCTATACAGGGTCACTATGTGTTGGAACTGACTTGACGGCACCTAACAACATCAGCAGATGACAAGTCTCAGGGTTGTTATGATGATTACAGAGATAATGGGACATCAGACATTTAGTGACCAGCCTGGTCACAAGCAGGTGCTCAAGATGCGGCCGCTAGGAAACTGTTGAAGAGGATTCTTGTCATCAACATCAGCAGCAAGCTCCATAGGACTTGTAACCTAAGAAGAAGCCATATCTCTCCAGAAGAAGAGGGATTTCAGAGGAAACTGGAAACCCTCAGTGCTTCTAGAGAGATGCATGGGTTAGGGATTAAATTGTGCTCCTCCAAAATGTGTGCTGGATTCTCCTAAGCCCTGAACCTGTGGCTGTGATCGTGTCTGGGAACAGGGTTTTCTTTTGTGTGTTATGTTGCTAAGTCAGTATAAGGTGTGTCCTAAACCCAATCACTTTGAGTTCTAAAATGCAGATTAGTCAGAGTAAAGCAAGCAGCTACAGGGGGAGCCAAATGTATCTGAAGGTGATGTAGGTAGATGAATGCACAAACCCTCGAACACCAAGGATTGCTGGTAACTAGAAATGAAATAAGACTAAGAAGGACGTCCGCTCGAGCCACATTCTGAGTTCGGACTTCTAGTTCCCTGAGCTGTGAGAAAACAAGCGCCTGCTCTTCAAAGCCGCCCACTTGTGGCATCTGTACCATAGCAGCGTTAGTGAACGAAGACAGTGAGTCTCTGGGATGCTGATGCCAGAATCACTGCGCACCACACGGAGTCAGTTCTCAGTCATGTCCTCCAGCAAACACGGCAGCGCACCAAGTCCTTTCTCCTAACATCTTCCGATATACGCCAAAGGCACCCTCCGACGTCCTGTTCCGGGAAAGCAAATCCAGGAGAGGGAGTGGAGACTCTGACCCAGGGAGCTAACATGGTGGTTCTCATCCAGGGAACACTGTGTGATGTCTGCAGAGATGTTTGGTTGTCACAATTAGGGGCATGGGCATGCTACTGGCATCTAGTGGGAGGAGGCCAGAGATGCTGCTACATACCCTACAACGCATAACCAAACCCACTGTAGTCAAGTCCACTCTGACTCACAGCGACCCTACAGGGCAGACTAGAACTGCTCCCTAGAGCTGGAGACTGCAAATCTTGAGCCTCATCTTTTTCCTGTGGAGCGGCCGATGGGTTTGAACTGCCGACCTTGTGGATAGCAAAGAAATGCTTATTTAGCCCATTATATTTATCACATAGAAGTATCCAGTTCAAAGTGTCAACAGTGCTGAGGATGAGTAGCTGTGATCTAACACAAGAGACCCACCTTTTTAGAAAGCCCTTGGGGAAACCAGGGGAAACGCCCCATTGTAACTCACTGTAATGTCAAGTGGGTCTTGTTCACTATGAAGATGGATAGGCCTGAAGACAAGATGGTGCTCCCACAGGTCAAAACCCTGACTGACCTTCCTAAACATGTCTGCTAGCTCTGCGTGCTGGGGTCAGCCTAAGTCTATGGGTCAGCCTAGCCATGGACTCCTAACTTTCCGGTGCCACGATGAATGGAAATCCCGCCCCCCCCCGAACCTAGATCCCTGAGACCATCTTTTAGCTTTAAACCAAGAATAGCCCCTGAAGTCTAATTATAACTAAATAGTAATTTCTTCGCTTAAATGATAAAACAGATCTGCCTGGAGCTTTATGCTCTTTTAGGATCTACATGGGATCAGAGTCACAGCAACTCAAAACCTAAGACAGGAGCCTTAAGGGTTCAGTGAGTTATGTTCAAAAGGAGGGTGATAATGGCTGCATGTGGAGAATATCAGCAGTGTCACTGTACTCCACATGTAGAAAAGGTTGGCTTGGTGCAGGTTCTGCTGTATATGGTCTCAACAACAGAAACCATGGCGCTAGACCAGATTATATCAACTGTGTTCCCCGGTGTGCTGACTGGTCTTCCTTGAGCAAAGACAATGTTGGCCTCATGAGCTGCAGAAATGACGGACTAAACAATGTCTCTTTACTGCAGGAATTCCCAGAGCCTTCAATATCCTATTAGGAATCTCAATCTCCAATGGCACAGAGAGGCTGCCTTTTTCCTAGAGCCAAACTTTGGGTTTGTAACCTTTGGCAACTACTTTAGGTAGCCAATCAGAATCTCTAGACCGTATTTCAACCTGTGCTGTAAGAAAGAGAATTGACATGCTGCCCTAAAATATTACATCTGCTTCTTGCCCTCTACTGGTGGGAAAGAGCTCTTGCTCCTTGGGGCTCCTCTCTTGTCCTTATGGGATAATGCTGTGGTGAAGAGCATGGGCTTTGATAACCAAACAGCTGGTGGGAATGAGTCTCGGCAGACATCTAGGTCAACTGGCACAACACAGTCCACAAAGACAATGTGTTGCACCCTACTCTGATGAGCAGTGGCTGGGATCTCAAAAACTCATGAGTGGCTATCTAAGACGCAACTATTAGTCTCTTCCCGTCAGGAGCAAAAGTGAAGAAAATCAAAGACTCAGGAACAAGATGGTGACTGCTCTGACTGTTCTGATGAGGGTCACAATAGAAGGTCTGGAACAAAGTGGAAGAGAAATGTAGGACAAAATTCAAAGTTTGAAGAGACTGGATTTACTCGGCTAATAGAGACACGTGCAAGCCCTGAGACGAGGGTCATTAGACAGCTTTGAAACCCAGAAGTGAGCCCACCCTCCGAGACCACAAACAACAGAGAGGCCTGTAGAGTGAACGAGAACATTTATGAGGAATGTGCTCCTCAGAACAAATCATGCCAGACCAAATGACAGCATCTGCCCAAAAGCAAAGTTCAAAGGGCATGAAGGGGCAGGAAAGGTGGGCAAATGAAAACAGGGAACCCAGCTACATTGATGGGATTGCAACTAATGTCACAAACAAAATGTGTACGGATGTTGGATGAAAAACTAATGTTCTCTGTGAACTTTCACCCAAACCATACACACACACGAGAAAGATCATGAGCTATGCAGTCAGACACACATGGGTTTGAGTCTCAGGTCTGCCGCCGATTCTCTGTGACTTTCAGGCAAGTTCTTCCCTCGCTGAGTCTATGTTTCCCATTTAGAGAATAAAGGCCATGGTGAGGCCTGCCTGGTCACGTGATTACGAGTGTAGCAAGATCATGTGTGACGAGCACTTGCCACAGTGCCTGCTGGCATGCAGTGAGCTCGTAGCCAGTGTAACCATACTGTTCGTATTGACAAAGGCAGGAGAAGAGAAGGTGTGCTTTTGGTTACCTGTCCAGTAGGGCTCCCAGCTTCTTGGCTACGTGGGCTCGGAATTCAGGGGTGGTCTGCAGCTCATTGGCATCTTGTTCATGCTCATCCACCTTATGCCTACAACATACACAAAAGGATCTCACTCCTGCCAGCTCACAAGCTGCCCCCTTAAAGGCAGGGACTATAAATATTCTGTTTATTATGAGGACTCGCCTAGCATTCATAGTCACAACAACAGATTAAAAGAGAGCACAGAAGCAGAAAATGTTGCATTCCGTTAAGACATAAAAGTCACCATGAGTAGGAGCAGATTCAATACCAACTAATAACAAATACAGCCTAGCATCTGGCACACAACGGGTGTGTGTGTGTGTGTGTGTGTGTGTGTGTCAGTTATTTACTATGTGAATGAAACTTGAACCAAAGTGGGTACCTGAGGCTTGGTTTGGTGGCAGGCAACTGGTTACTGGCAGCATCTGTGGAGATAATGAAAATTGAGGCCTTTAAAGAAACATGAACAATAACAACATGTGTTGTGGGCCAGGCACAGCATCACGTGATTTACCTGTACAATTTATCTATCTCTATGTAAGAACTCCAAAACAGGGGTTAGCTCCATTTTACAGAAGAGGAATCTGAGGCGAGGAGATATAAAACAACTCAGCCAGAGTCAAATAGTTATTTAGTGTCAGATTTTGGAGGCGGACCCTGGCCAGCTGGCTCCAGAGCCCCTCTCTTAACCACCAGAGTGAACAGGCAAGTCAAGGTGCAATGTGATTCCAGAGAGTCTTGAGTGCCTACTCTGTACCTGACTGTGTGCATAGAGCTACGGAGCAGAGAAGAAGGGGATTAGCCATGTTAAAAACAAAAACACTGGGGATGCCTGGCCAAATACGGAATATCAAATACTCCACCAAATACCGAATGTCTAGTATTATTAGCCTGATGTGGTAGTTGAACAAGTTAACAAATACGCCTGCCCTCATGGAACTTATGAACACACATGCATAAGTAAAATATATGAAATTAGATGTTTTTAAGAAAGGTTGTTTGTTATCACCAGATGAAAAACTAATGTTCTCTGTAAACCTTCACTTAAACTTTATCACTACATGTTAACAAGCAACACAAAAACATAGCAGGGGAGGAAGACAGGATACTGGGTGGAGGCATCACTTATGTCAAAGATAGGGTGGGCTTCATCTGGAACAGACGGGAAAGAGCAGACCAGGCAGAGAGAAGAGCACCTGTGAGCACCAGGAGCCTGCCTGGCACATTTAGGACCTGCGAGTGTTTAGAACAGGGGTTCAAAGTGAGTGTTTAACTCAGGGTGGCTATGAGTACCCATAAATCATCTATGAATGCATATCTAGTGTCCAGTATCTTGCCTGGCACACAATAAATGGCACTGATTATGAGCAGCTATAGCTACTTTGGTCAGCAGAGGATTTATACGCTGGTCAAAGCTTGCTCCGGTTTGAGTCTCACACGTGCCCTGAGAGTCAGGCATTTTACAGACGAGGAAAAGGCAGCTCCCAGAAGTCATGCTACTTGTCCAGGTCCCACATACAAGCTGGCACTTCATATCAAGTTGCCACCTAGTAACTCATTCTGACAAAGAAGCAAACCCCCTCACTCACCGGAGATGCCCTTCAGGCAAGTTCACTAATGAAAACAACTATTCCCTGAGGACGGTACAGGGCCCTAAGGAGGCCTGGTGGTGTGATGGGGTGAGCATTGGGCTGCTAACGGAAAGGTCTGAGGTTCAAACCCACCAGTCACTCCGCAGGAGAAAGGCGAATCTATCTGCTCCTGTGAAGATTTACAGTCTCAGAAAGCCTATATAGGGTTGTTATGAGTCAAAATGGACTCGATGAAGTGGTTTGGGTGGTGCTGGACCCTGGGGTTGCCATGGTGAAGGGATGGACCAGATCCCAGCCCTCAAGAAGCTTCCACCACAGAATCACTCACTTGTAGAACAATGATAGGCCAGGATTAACTCCAAGCATCAAGGACGCAGGGACGAGAGGAACATAGCGAAGAGGCAAATGTTGGAAGAAGGAAATCAGTAGCCATGAAAGGACACTCACGAAGCATGAAGGTGACACAAAGACAGTGTCTAACCTAGACTTGGGGGATGGAAAAACTTTCCCTAAGAGGTGATATTAAAGGATGAGTGGGAAGTAAGTAGGGGAGGAAAGCAGTCCATCTAGACAGATCAGCCACACAACTGCTGACATCTACTGGGCCTTTACTATGTGCCAGTTACTACAGATGCATCATCTACATTACATCTCAATCGTATGGGTTAGGTACTACCACACCCCCACTTTACAGGTGAGAACAATTAGGTACAGTGAGAGTTTGGTTTTGTGCCCAAGTTCTCACAGTCAGTGAAGGATGAAGATGGAAAGGCAAATCTGTCAACAGCACCTGCACGGAAAACTGCAGAGATGAGAGGGCACAGTGTGGTCTGGAACCCACATCTGGTTACTGCAGTAAGAGTGACCAGATGTGAGTGACTAGTGAGAGGCAAGCAGGGACTAGATCACTAAGGGGCTATAAGTCCTTTTCAACGAACGCAGAGCTTCTTCATCTTGCTTTGCCATGGTCTCCTCTGACTGTCTGCTTAAGCCTGCGTCCATTGTCAGAATACTGTTACAAAGAAAGCCAATGACACTGAAATGCAGTCATCATAGTATTGGTAGTGTGCTGTGGAGTTGCTTCCAACTCATAGCAATCCTGTCTAGACTTTCCGAGGCTGTAAATCTTTATGGCAGAAGGCCTCATCCATCTTCCAAAAAATGGCTGATAGATTCGAACTGCTGACCTTGTGGTTAGCAGCCTAATGCGTAACCCCCTATACTACCAGGGATCCCTATCATAGTATTACAATACCAAGTTAGTAATGTTAATATATGTTCTTCTTTATTATAGTATTAATTAAATAAGATCTAGAGGGAAGTCGGAGTCTTGTGTTACTGTAGGATAAGCACTGGACTGCTAACTGCAAGGTTGGTAGTTCAATTCCATCAGATGCTCCTAAGAAACTCTTTACAGGGTCACTCTGAGTCAGATCCGATTTGACAACACTTGACAATAACAATAGGGAAATCTAAAAACTACTGCAATCTTAAAATGTAGAAATGCATAAATGATTTTTCACAACATTCTACTGTGAAAGGGGGAGTCCTGGTGTGGTGTCACAGAGGATAAGCACTGGATTGCTAACAGTAGGTGAGTTGTTCCAACTCACCAGACACTCCTTGGAAACCCTATACAGGGGCGCTATGAATTGGATCTAACTTGATGACACTTGACATCAACTGTGAAGAAAATGCTATTTTGAAATATCTGTAACAACTGTCAGGTGAAATAAGACTCTGTGATTTCTGCTGGAACAAAGTAACAGGCATAGGCTACTCTAGGGGGAAAAAACCCAAATTCAAACGTATTTTATAGAGACCCGTTAGTTGTTGTTAAGTGCCGTGGAACCAGTTCCGACTCATAGTGACCCTGTTTCTGACGAGTAGCTGGTGGAGTTGAACTGCCAACCTTGAGCTCCAGTGCATTATCCTGCTGGTTCCAACTCATAACGATCCTTTCGAGGAGTTGCTGGTGGATTTGAACCCAACTTTGAGGTCAGCAGTTCAGTGCTTATCCTACAGCACCACACTAGGACTCTACTCCGGAGACACCCTTCCCTCCACCTTAGTCAGCCTCAAGCAGGACATAGACAACACAAAGACAAATCATCTAGATGATTTAAACCATCCACATGAAACCATAGGGTGTCCAAAGGATTCATGGCCATGTGGCTCATTATAGCTGACAAGAATCTGTCACAAAATCATGCTTGGTGGTGGATCAATTCATCAGTGCAGCAGACAGGGAAAGGACCATGACCAGGATACAAACAAACACAACTGCAGTTTTAAAAAGCTTATGAGATTGGTCCTGGGGTTGTTCCAGTTTGAACATTTGGCTACTTGATGGTGGGGTGTGTGATCCTAGGGCCCCAACTTGCAGGTGATCAGCACGAGTAAATCATTAAGCAGGCAAGTTCCTTGAGGGCAAGACGGCTGCTTGCTGGGAGTGTAATGGGGGAGTTTTTAAAACACTGTCCTAAGGCAAAGTAATGGAGCTCTGGTAGTGTAGTGCTTAGGAATCAGGCTGCTAATCTCAAGGTCCTGTTGGAAACTACCAGCTGTTCCGCGGGAGAAAGATGAGGCTTTCTGCTCCCGTAAAGATTTACAGCCTCGGAAACCAACTCCACAGCAAGGCAAAGCAACGACATAGTTGGTAATGATCAGAATGAACTCAAATGGAGGCTGAATGGTGGTTCAAGATGTAGTTAGGGTTCCCCCTGTAATCTGCAGCCTTCCACAAGACAGATGCTTTAAAATTTAAACTTTAATACATGCCAAATTTCTATGGGTTGTTGCCCACATGCATAAAGGAAGGAGATGTTTTATTTCAGTCAAAGGCTAATGGATGTATCCCCAGGACAATAGAGAGTCACAGAACGGTTTCAAGTGGAGGAACAACAAATACGGTGAGACTGCAGCTGCCAAAAAATGTGGAGATGTGTTACATGTGTTCGAGGCAGGGAAATGGAGAGGTGATGACGGCGAGCCCAGGATGGAGAACAAAGCGGATTCAAAAGACATTTAAAAGCTTGTATTCCCGACTGGAGTTATAGAACTGTCTTCTCTACTGCACCTGACCAAGTTTTGAATTCGAATCTCACAGTCCCTGGAGCTCTCTTCATGAATGAATTCGAATACCAGTAACTCCTCACCATCCTCTCAGCCCCCAGAGGAAGAACTCACGCTCTTCAGCCGGCCTCTCCGAGCATAGCCTTCTATCAGCTCTAGGATTCTCCGGACCCATTGGGCGCTGCTCCAAGCCCCAGGCCGGCTTCGCCGCTTCACGGCATCGAGCTAGCTCCTCCGCATCGCTGCTACTGCTATCGGAATCACTCTCAGCCTCCCTGGGAGCCGCCATCTTGAACTGCCGCAAAGCTTTATGGGGAGCTCCCTCACTGGCGTTTCTTCTTTATGAACTTACACGATAACCGGGAAATACACGGCATTGTGGGTATTGTAGTTCCAGGCTCAGGCCACCACTGGCCATGACCTCTCAGGACGGCGGTGATAGAGTGGGTGGGTGTATGTAATCCTGAAACCTGAGAGATCTGTTAGATCTGTTAGGAAAATGAGAACTATTTGAGTGCTGGTGTGGCGCTGTCGTATGAGCACTACTGAACCGCAAGATCGACACCCACTGCTCAGAAATTCTATACAGGGTCGCTGGTGTTGTTGTTAAGTGCCGTCGAGTCGGTTCCGACCCATAGCGACCCTGTACAGGGTTTCCGAGGGTGTAAATCCTTACGGGAGTAGAAAGCCTCATCTTTCTCCCGCGGAGCGGCTGGTAGTTTCGAACTGCTGACCTTATGGTTCACAGCCCAATTCGTAACCACTACGCTAAGTCCGAAAAGACTGGAACACACTTAACAACAACAGTAACAATAGGAAGGAAATCGCTTAAGACCACACAAACCGGGATAAGTTCCCAGGTTTAGATCCAGTTTAGTTTCTCCTTTATTTATTGTCCTAGTTAAATCCTAGACAGAGTAGAACTGCCCCATAGGGTTTCCAAGTCTACGTAAGCCCCCGCCCCCAACTATTTATTGTGAATTGGATGAAGATTTATAGAGCATGTCATCAATTTTATATTCAACAAATCTTATACTTTGTTTCATTACATGGTTGCCGTCCCTACACGTACCAATAGTTAGCAGTATTTACCTCTCTTCACCCTATACCGGGTCACTATGGGTCGGAATCGACTCAATGGCACTTAACAACAACTTATCTATTGCAGTCCTCCCTCTGTCTTCTGCTACCTTCACCTTTCCTCTGCTAATCTTGTTGTATATTGCCTACCCTGTCACCCATGTTAACATGTGGTAGCGTAGTGGTCATGAATACAGCTGCTAACCTCAAGGTCAGCAGTTTGAAACTGCCAGCTGTACCAGGAAGAAAGATGAGGCTTTCTGCTCCCGTAAAGATTTACAGCCTCGGAAACCCTGTACAGGGTCGCTATGGGTCGGAACCGACTCTAACGGCACATAACAACAACAACCCTCTAACCAGTGGGTAATTTTCCCTCCTTTCCTTCCCCATAACCATCATAGATTGTTTCTTTTATCAAGAAAAGCTTTATTTATTTAAAAAAACGTTTTATTGTGAATTATGTGATAGTTTACATGGGAGAACATTAGTTTTACATTCATTCTATTGTAATGTTTTATATCATTTCCTTGCCATGGTTTCAATAAGAAAACCTTTTTTAAAAAAAATTTTTTTTTAACCTTTTACAACATTGGTCTCATACAATATTTGTCCTTTTGTGATTGACTAATTTCACTCAGCATAATGTTCAACCATGCTGTGAGGTGTTTCACAGATTCATCATGCAAGTTTATACATCTTTACTGAAATGAACTGCCACATCTTTCTCCCAAGAAGTGGCTGAAGCACTCCCCATTGATTAGCAGCTAAGTGCTTTTACCACTGTCCACCAGGGTTGCTTCTGGAAGTCTGTTATTGTTAAGCGCCGTAGAGTCAGTTCTGACTCATAGCAACCCTGTATAGGATTTCCGAGATGCAGGTGGTGGGTTTGCACTGCCGACCTTACAGTTCATGCTGACCTTTCAGGCCAGTGCTTATCCTATAGCGCACCACTGGAACCCCACTGAAGGTCCACATTATTGATAAGTGTTGTCGAGTTGGTTCTGACTCATAGCTACCCTGTATAGGGTTTCCGAGGAGCACCTGGTGGGTAAGCATACTCATGTGGTTCATAGTCCAGTGCTGATACTACAATGCCACACAAGGACTCCCTGGAGGTCCACGGTGGTATAAATGCTTTGCACTCTAGGACTAGCCTAAAGGTTGGTGGGTCTACTCTACTCAGTGATGTCACAGAAGAAAGTCTTGGTGATCTGCTTTTATAAAGATTGCAGCCAAGAAAATCCTATGGGGCAGTTTTACTTTGTCACACAGGATCACTATGAGTTGGACTTGACTTGTGGAAATGGGTTTAGTTTTTGTTTTTTTCCTACTCAGAGCCTAGCCCATGAAGCTGCAGCATTGGTATTACTCTAAAGTGTCCTCGATTCTATTCTGAGTCATAGCAACCCTGTACAGGGTTTCTGAGACTCCTGCAGGTTTATGGATCTTACAGAGTCAGAACCGAACTCCTGGAAACCTTACAGGGCAGTTCTAGTCTATCCTACAGGGTTGTGATGAGTAACAGTGAACTTTTTGGCAGTGGGTTTGTTTTGTTTGGGGATTGCTTTTTTTTTTTTTTTTCTTTTCTCATAAAATTGTATCAAGACTACTGAAATAAGTCCTCTGGCCTCAGACAGAGGTAGATGACTTACTTGTTCCTTTCTAAACAAGAATTTACCCCCCAACAACATTGTGGTCTGTACTTGTGTTATGAAGGACACAAGATGTGGACTGTACTAGCCTGTTGAACCCATGGAAAGGAAGTACGCTTTCTGCCTTCCAAAAGCAAAAACTGGTGGAAAATATGCATATTACTATCGCATGCATGAGGTGATTGACAATACCATGGTTTGGGTCAGGCACACCTTAGTCCTCAAGAGATCTTTTGTAGTAGATTTGCCTAATACAATTAGTGGTTTGATTACTTGACTGCTGCTTCCTTGAGTATTGATTGTGGATCCAGGCAAATCGAAGTCTTTGACAACTTCCATCTTTTCTCCATTTAGCATGATGTTAGGTATTGGTCCAGTAGTGAGGATTTTCATTTTCTTTACTTTGAGGTACAATCTATATTGAATGCTGTGATCTTTGATGTTCATAAGTATTTTTACGTCCTCTTCACTTACAGAAAGCAAGGTTTTATCATCTGCATATCACGGGTTGTTAATGAGTCTTCCTCTAATCTTGATATCCTATTTTCCATCATAAAGTCCAGTTTCTCAGATTATTTGCTCACCATACAGATTGGATATGTATGATGAAAAGATACAACCCTGAAGCACTCCTTTCCTAATTTTATACTATTCAGTATCCCCTTGTTCTATTTGAACTGCCTCTTGGTCTATGTACAGGTTCTTCATGAGCACAATTAAATGTTCTGAAGTACCCATTCTTTGGAATGTTATCCACAGTTGGTTGTGATCCACACAGTCGAATGCCTTTGCATAGTCAATACAGCACAAGTAACCATCTTTCTGGAATTCTCTGCTTTCAACCAAGAGCCATCTGATCTCAGTAATGATGTCCTTCAGTCCACATCCTCCTCTGAATCTGGCTTGAATTTCTGGCAGCTCTCTGTTGATGTACTCTTACAATTGGCTTCCATGTGATATTAATGATATTGTTCAGTGATTTCCACATTTTGTTGGGTCATTGAGTTGATTCCAACTCATAGCGACCCAGCATAGGGTTTCTAAGAAGCAGTTGATGGGTTTGAAATGCTGACCTTTCAGCTTTCCAGGGCTTATCTACATCGCTACATAGAATTCTTCAATATTTCAACCTGAGTTTTGGGTTTTTTTCTCCAGTTCTTTCAGCTTGAGAAATTCTGAGTGTGTTCTTCCCTTTTGGTTTTCTAACTCCAGGTCTTTGCACATTTCATTATAATATTTGATTCATCTTCTCGAACTGCCCTTTGAAAGTTTCTGTTCAGTTCTTTTTCTTCACCATTTCTTCCAGCTGCTTTTGCTTCTCTATGCTCAAGAGCAAGTTTCAGAACCTCTTCTGACATCCACTTTGGTCTTATTTTCCTTTTGAATGATCTTTTGCTTTCTTTACGTATATATCTCACAGCTTTTTTGGTCCGTGGTCATTAGTTATCCTTCTTCCTCCCTGTGGCTCCCCATTTACATCCTATATTTCATGAATGAGCAAAGTAAAAATATGATGCATACATAACAAAACAAATAATACATATTCATTTAAATATCCAAAGGGCACATTCTGCAAGCCAGCCTCCTGCCCACAGGTACACAGCCTTACTCAACCCATGAGCCTAGAGCCCACAGTCACTCTGTCTCTCCATGCTACTGGTTCTGCCATCATCTCTGCTATCACCACTTTTCTAGGTAAGGATCTCATGCTCCACACAAGCTCCTCTTCCTTCTTGATGGTCCTGGGATCATCTATTCCTGAAATGAAAGAGTAATTACTTTCCTTTTTTCTTACATATCTTTTACAACCTCAGTTTTGACAATCACAGTTAATCCTACCAACAATTACTCACAACTGAATCATCAAATCCTATCAACATCATCTCCCACCCCCTTTCACCAGACCCATCTGGAAAAAAGGAAAGTTATTCAGTGGGGATTCCACCTTCCCCTCCTCATTCTGAAACTAAGCATACCCATGAAAGTTTGTAAGCCAGCCACTTCATGCCTTTATAGCCCCGCCCCCAATCACAGCTGTTCTTGAGATGAATCCTGTCTGATTGGTTTGTTTATGAGTATGCCTCTACGACTGAAAAAAGAATGGCATACTACTGCAATACAGCTTGGCCTATGTACAATCTAGAATATGAAGGAAACTGGCCTTTGAATAGATCCTTAAATTATTATGCTTTCTTGCAGTTTGAATTGCTTTGTCAAAGATCAGGAAAATGGCATGAGATCCCTTACATGCAGACTTTTGTGATTTTGTACAATAGAAATGCAGGTATAAATGGTGGTATAGTGGGAAAAAGAACCTAACCATCCAAATGAGGCAGACAAAAAGCCTGAAAAACCTCAGGTCTGCCCTGATGACTGTTAATATAGAACAGAACCCAATGCTGTTGAGTTGGCTCCAACCCACAGCAACCTTGTATAGGATTTCTGAGGAGTGACTGGTAAGCTTGAACCGCCAACCTCACTGTCCAAACTGACTGTGCAATCCAGCGCATTAACCCACAGCACCACACCAGGACTCCGTAACTAATGTACTGTGCCT